GTGGGCGAAGGCCAGGCTTTTTGCACTGTACTAACCTCACAGTCTGAGAGGCTCTCTCGCCTTCATTATTCCGATGAAATCCATTGAGCATCTGGGACTAAATTATTCAACACCATCGACCCAGTTACAGGCTGCTAAGTTGTCATCAGGCGTTGTGATAGCTACAGTGGGCTTCATCGGTTATGGCCACAATTTACTGATATTAGCATTGAATTTAATTTGGTTTAGCACAGCTTTCAGTTTTTACTATTCTGTATAAAAGAAAGTGGAAGAATGGATTTGTTCGGCCTCCGTCTTAACAAAAGAAATTCGATTTTGCTGTACCATTCTCACTGGGGCACTAATGATGTGTTGCTGCCAACACGAAGCTCAAGATACCAAGCCCATCCCGTTTAGTCCAGACAGCGCACTGTCACAACTGGACGCACAAACATTTCCAGCCGAGAGAAATAGTAGCAAGCAAAACCTTTGGTTTAGAGTGATTTTATCTATCCATCTATTTATTTATTTGCACTATCCGATTGGTGACATACAGTCGAACATTTTTTGAGCTCCTAACATAGTAGAACCTTGTGTGTCTTGAACCGAGCCGCACCACGTCAATTAAAAGAAACAGAGGATGTATTCCTGTTGCCACACAACAGGGTGTTTTAATCTAGTTTGGATGTGTTTTGTTTCCCTTCCCCTTTCCACCTCATTATAGTTATGAAAGGTAATTAGACATATGCAAGCCCAAATGGTATTTTAAATTAGCCTTTCTAGTCATATTAAAAAGAAATGTTTGCATCTTCTTTGGGCGGTAGGGATATTTTTTAAATGCAATATGTTAGTTAACACATGCCATCTGTGATAGAAATTCACACCTTGCCCATATGCTTTGTAACACTGTAAAATCACTTGTGGTGATACTAACGCACTAAAAAGTACTCTGTTGGTGTCAAATGTGGATTTGTGGAAAGCGCCATACAAGATGACATATGAGCGTGAAATATATTATGGAAATAGGACCTTGTCTGGTTAGGGTTAAGGTCTGATTGACTATGATTACATGATTTGAAATAAAAAACAGCCCTGAGGAGTACGTGTTTGTCCATCTTTTGGATTGTGTAAATGAGTGTGAGTTATGGAACAGAAACCTGAGACAAAGATCAGTCTATAAGCCACATCTGCTCATGCGTTCCAGCCTTGGCATTTGTTAAAGGCTACCTATATGTTTCATGTGGAAACTAGTAATAATTTGACTTAATGTATGGTTTTGTTCATAAAACAGCTGCCCTCGCAATGTAAGTGGTTGTAGAGTATGTGTGGAACTACATAATTGAAATAATGTATCCTCCTTGAGTCAACACATTTTCCAGCTACGTACAAATGTACAATCCGAGAGGTCCCTGCACAACAAGACCTTAGACTGGATAAAAACAGGGTTTGCCAAGGGATACAAAAAAACAACAAGCATCCTCGGTGGAATACATTAGTAGGACAACACAAGCGTGCATCAGATAAACCCTTCAGATGCCTTTTGTGTCCTCCTGACTTTGAGCTTGTCTCCAAAGAGACGTGCCGGGTGCCAAAGAGTATTCATCAAATTAGACTACAAAGACAACAACGTGAAAAGCTATCACTCCTCACAGAGGTGCGCCAACAGGTTATCACCCTGAAAGTCTCTCTTGGTTCTGAGCACCAGTGCATCGGAACACAAAATACCCTGAACAACAACTCTCGTTCCACGTGCAATGAAAATGGGAACGAATTCATGGAAAGAAAGAAAGTGTAGTGTTCTGCAAAATAATGAAGTCACCTTGTTGAATAGTTACTGAATGCTGACTAAGCTTTACAGAGGACATTCAGACCAGGGGCACATTAACGTCAGCAGAAAATACAGATTTGTTAAAAAAAAATAAAAGATTGAATGAAATAAAAAGCACAAATAAATATTAAAAACACCCACCGTAAATTTAAACTTCAGCAAGAAGCATAGAGAATGAAATATGGTACGTTAGCGGTGGGACCATCATTAAACAAGGAAATTAATTGCTATTTGCAGTTACCCTCATTTATATTAATGGGTGGGGGGGCCAGCTAAAAAGTATGTAACAGTTAATGTTTGTATTCATTGTTTACAATAATTGTTTACTTCTGTGTTGTCAAGTAATTGAGGTACAATTTGGGCGACCTGCGGGTTGTTTCATGTGCCACATTGTATACACATTTGTAAGAGGCTGCATTCAAATCTGAGAAAATCCCATTCCGTGTGCTTTTTTTTTTGCCTCTATGTTGCCATCACAAATATGCCCCTTAAGAGCAAAATATTGGCCCATTTCAAACATGTAGTGTAAATCAAGCCATGGTAATGGAAGACTTTGCGCTAAGTCAAATTCGATTGCCTATATTCACTCCACACTTGCTTGCCTGTTCAGGGTCACCGTATAACCTTCTGTTGTTCGTATAGTTTTCATTCTGATCAATCTTGACAATGTCCACCAACACCTAAATAATCTCACATGACAGTGTACTTAGAGACTGTGAAAATCTTCATGCATTTTACATGAGCGCTAAAAGGGGGTTTCTATTCTTGTTTTTTTTTCTTATTGTGTGTGAGTGTGTGTGCGTGTGCGTGTGCGTGTGTGTGTGGGTGTGTGCGGGTGTGGGTGTGTGTGTGTGTGTGTGTGACTGGGGTGTGTGTGTGTGTGTGTGTATGTGTGTGTGTGCGTGCGTGCGTGCGTGCGTGCGTAGATCCCACTGGAGTGTGCTCTCTGTTGCTAAGACTAGTGGCAATTAAATGAGCTACTCTCCTTGTTCCACCAGGGCTTCAGCACTTTGCTGCTGGAATAATGATACTTGCTTTGCTTTTAGCACTTTAGAAGTATAGGATCATTTCTCTTGTGTGAATTATGCTGCTTAGATTGGAAAAAATAACACAATTCAGCTAATGAACTGGAATTGTATAGTATTGTTGGAAAAGGGTTGGAAAAATCTCTGAATGTTTTGTGTGTGCGTGTGTGTGTGTGTGCGCGCGTGTGTGTTTTAATACCTTTGTTTTTAAGATTTGGGTGTTCTTTTTTGGTAAAAAAATATGTTACCCAATGGAAACTTGCCAGTTTCTATGACTGTAGATGGATTGTATGTTAAGAAAAAAGAAAGAAAAGCTCCACTAAGGATGAGGACACCATGAATTTGCCATGTTTAGGACTTTCGATGTCATGACCACATCAAAATGTTGGCCTACACTCCAATCCCAGGATGCTTTGTCACATGACAAATCATTTTAGTAGTGATGTAGAGGCTTATAGCATAACATGGGTTGAGTGATGTACTGATGAGAATATTTATGGTAAAAGTGGCTCAAAGGCACAATTTAACTAGTTGTACATGCAGTACTGTATGCATACAACCATTGACATTTTTAGGGGAATTGTTGTTTTCTGTAGTAAGACATACTAGAGAAAGGTTGATATGTTTGTTTCAGAAGCTTTGGCTAAGGAGGCCGATAACCGATATTTGAAGCGTTCATTTGCAGTAAAAGCGATAATATTTGTGTCCAAATTTTAAATCGGACAAACGTCAACATTTAACTTTGTTTAAATGGCTTTAAGCTTGTTTATTAAACAGCCTTTTACATTTGCGACTTGTACAATTAAAAAAAAAAACTTTGATAGGAGATATATTTGTTTTAAAATTCAAACAAAAATAGCATGGAGCAAACAAAATAAAGGGTACAGCTAGCTCACAACATTTTGACTAAGCTGATGCGAATATGAAATGGCGATATGCGTCAAAATGCCAAATATCAGCACAGATAATTGGACCGGTCAATAATCTCAAATATATACATTGAGTCCAATATACATTGAGTTTAAAACATTTAGGTAGATTTACGTCTATGAACTTGGGTATGAAGTCATGAAATGGATTCACCTACTTATTTTTTAATGCTATTGCAGTCACTATACTTGCCAGAATTGATAATAGCAATAAATAGAATGTGGTCGTGGCGGTGGTGTTACAGCCATACACCTCCACAAAAGCTTACTGTGCGGTGATTTAACCTACGTGGTAGACATCTTCCACGCCTCCTCTTCCACATAAATCTCAAGAAAAGGAACACGAGAAAGGGAGGTGGAGAGAAGAGGGCTGTGATAAGTTAGGAAGAGGAGCGAGAGAGCATTGATTCCATGATTCCACCAAACTTCTGCCAGTGAATGTAACATGTCAACATCCTACGCCAGGGAAGAAAAAAAGAAATATGACGCTAAAGTGATGGATGTGGCACTCTTGAATCAGACTGCTACACCATCTGGATACTTGACACTGTACGTCAGAAAATTACATTTACGTTTGGACGGACTTCCCCGGCCAGCCGCTCCAAGAACTGCTCTTCATCACATCTCCTTTGATGGATCATTCCCAGAGTTTTTATGATGTTCGGCTGCACTCCAAATGTCAAGATAATCCAAAATCAGATTCCGTGCATCCTAATGGACGTGAGACTAAATGACATCATCTTTCATTTCCTTAACATATTTCATCCAACTCGCAAACACATTGTGATGCAAAAATACAGCATGCCGTGTATTGTACTTCCATCTTCAGAGGCCCCAGATTTTTTTGACATTGTGATATAATACTGAAGCTTGATGGTAGTAGCGTGCCATCATGAAACATTTTAACCAACCATGGAGCGCCAATCATGCTTCGGAAAATCAGGCTCAAACGTGAAGTTTCAGACAAACATTACACAATAATGTGGAATGCCTTGGAAAGTGTTTACGGTGGAAGAATGATGATCCATCAGTTTTGTTTAGTCTCTCATTTTGAATCCAACAGACAGACACTGAGCTTTAGAACTGATATTGGTTGCACAGAACTGTCGCCTCTGCTGTTCCACAATAATCCGATTTCGTGTTCATGGAGTATACGACCGGTTTGAATGTTTTGTCAGTAACCCCTGTGCGATTCCGTGGCCTCACCGCTCAACTGTGAACGTATTGCTCTCTTTGCAGACAAGCGAGGACATGCTTGTGGCATCGGCAGAGTGTCCAAGCGATGATGAGGACATCGATCCCTGTGAGCCGAGCTCAGGTGGGTTAGGTTAGTCATCTTTTTTTATTCTATTTCTCTATGGCCGTGTCAGTTTGTCTGTCTGTGCTGTATTTCACCCACACCATGACACTCAGAACATGGCGCAAGTTCTCCTGAACAATAACTGCGCTTTACTCAACGTGTTAACATTATATCTTTGTGACCATTCACCTACTTTGTACATATTTGGTCACACGATCTCACTTTAGGCGTGCATGTTATAAGGAAGGCATGACTCAGTAGTAGAGTGGTCATTTCCCAACCCAAAGGTTGGTGGTTCGATCCCTGGCCATTGCGACCATGTCCAAGTGTCTTTGAGCAAGATACTGAACCCCCAGTTTTGCTCCTGATCCTCTGTCATCAGTAGATGATTGAGGTAACAGTGTAAAGCGCTTTGAATACCCGAGGTAGAAAAGCCCTATCTAAGTGAGAGCCCATTGATCATCAACATGTGACATTGTCTTGTGTTGGTAATTAACCTGCAAATTGTGATGAGAATTAATCCCGTTGTTTTTCCATGCGTAATTTTCTTGGGGGTTTTTTTGTTGGTTTTTCTGGCAATAAAGCTCATATGAGCTACAGTTCAAAGATGGATGCTCCACTCTAAATAGAAATAACAGCAGCATGGATCTAACAGCCTTTGTTAGGCTGCCGGTAAACACAAACTTCAAGGAAAGATTTATTTACCACACAATGTTTTATATCAGCTTGCACTGCTGCCAAATGTTTAATCTTCTACCTTTCCAAGCAAGGAGAGGCGTTATAGCTAAACCTATGAATAGAGGGATTTTAAAGGCTTTCTGAACTGATGCGAAAGAAGTGGAAACAATTAAGTCCAGACGACCTACTCCATCTAGAGGTTCTATTGATCAGTGTGAGGTTATCAAACCACCGCTAAATTATTTTCAACTTTCCTTTCTGTCTTCTCCCAATAATGGGGTCTGGTGACAACAATAGCGCCATCCAATTTTCTTCTCATGCCGCACATCTCTTAGCCCCAGTTTTATCAGGGGTGCAAGATATGCAAAATGGCATCATCACATTTCTGCAAATCTTCACGCTCCAAAAAGGAAGCCATATTCTCACATTTTTAGTATCACGCCAAGGCCTCACTATTCATGTATGCAGGAATTTTTGTTGGGGCCAAGAGCTAAACAATAACGAGAACGATCTGTTTTCAGAGGTCAGCACTCGATCGTTTTTCTGTCAGACTCTAGCAGTAAGTGGGGCATACCAGTTGGTTAAACGTAATCATTGCCCTATTTTATTCCTGTAACCTCCTGAAAACATGAAAACTCCGGAGCACCAGCAAAGGCTTATCACCTGTTAAGCCCGCTGTGATTAGATCATGTAGCAACAAATTGAATCCTTCTCCTGGTTCCAAAAGCCACAGAGGAATACTAACATGTGTACTATAATAGCAGCCTTATTTGACTAATTTGGGAAGCGCGCATTGGCAGAATGGGAGAGAGCAGTGTAAAGAATGCACATAAGTCTCTCTCTCTCTCTCTCTCTCTCTTTCTCTTTCTCTCTTTCTCTTTCTCTCTCTCTCTCTCTCTCTCTCTCTCTCTCTCTACTTTAAAAAACGACTGAAGCATTTACCCACGGGATTTAGTCACCTTGCAAGCATGTCCTGTGCTTCTTTGTCAGGTTTGAGACCAGCTGGTAATGCCGACAAAAACGGTACAGTAGTAATTGTTAGGGAACAAAGAACACCCACTCTGCATTATATTCGAAGAACAACATGATGTCTTCTTCAAAGTTTTATCTTCTTCAACTCAAATGTTGAGATTTATGCAGCCTTCTACTTATCACAAACTATCCCTTTTGTCCTTATTCTCAGCTGAAGTGTTGCCAATTGGCAGGCCAAGGTTAATCACGTCCATTTTGTTCTTCTGCAAACACATCTTTCTTTGTGCTATATTATGAACTACCTGCAGTATGCGCTTGATGTTTACTTCAATAGACTCACTTATGTAAAGAGAACAGTCTAGTTTTAACTGATAAATCAAGTAACAAATGAATACTCTTCACCGACTGGTAAATTCATCAAGCCAGGAGGAATTATGGCACGGCATTGTTTTAAAAGAAAATTGAGCTTTATTTCATATCCTGTGCAATTTTGGTATTTTCCCCAATACTTTTTCATTGAGGATTATGCCATCTCAGGCTCATCCTGTGTGTTCTGAAAGAAAACAGGATTTCACACTCACTGTCAGGCTGCCTCTTTGCTGATCCCCCATATTTATATTTTCAATTATTTTCCTTTTTTCACCCACTCATCTTTAGAATGTGCTGACGTTGATGCTTACACAATGTGTCCGTTTATAAATCTAAGTAGGGCATAGAAGACTTTGCTTATCTGAGAGAAGACGCATAGCCAAGGTCGATAATGGCTTAGAATGAATAAGGGAAATTCACATTTCAGTGTTTGATGTGATGATGAACATTATAGAGATGATACTAGTTAATTATCATATACACCGACCTGCCACAACAATGATGGGCATTTTTACAACATGATGACCATGTGCGTAGCCATTTTTGAGGGCTTATTTGACATGTGATAGAAATACATATGGGCTCACAATTGTATTAAATGGACATAACAGTAATGGCAGCAAATTGCATGAGGCACTTGGCAATTTCTGCGATTCAACATTTACCGGTGCTTTCACTGAGTGTTATGTAATACCGGTTTAGTCAAGCGATGCAGTAATAGGCAGTCTGCAAGTAGGCAGGGCTGTACTTTTCTTACCAAATGGCACTTACAGACTTCTGCATATATTTTTTTTAAATAGAATTGTTACTTCACACTTTGACAGTCCACGAATTGTGTTGTGTCAAAAACTTCAGTAACACGTCCGATTCGTCCATCTGACAAGAACTTGAGTCCATTATTCAGCTTTTGTCATCATAGAATGTAAAACTACTGTTTGCCTTTCGAAGTAGTCTTTTGGTTAAAAAAAAAAAAAAAAAACTGCAAGCTTCTAATCTATTTTGTAAGAGTAAAAGTAATCAAGTGTCCCATCACCAGCCTTGTGCAATTAATGCCAAATAAATCATCCTCTTGTGGAAGCTCCTCTGGACAGAGGCTTAAATTACACCATACCTTTAGCGGGGCTAAATGAAACACCTTTAACTCATTTTCAGAAGGACCTCATTTCATGCTCGCTCAACTCTCTGTTCATCATCCGCCATTAGCGTGAGCTCAACCACTTCTCACTCACACGCTCTCATCGGGCGTACTGCCAGCATGTCACAAGTACACTTCTCGAGGACACTCTGATAATTAAAGAGGGATTTAATAAGTGTTTTGGCTCCACTGCAGCTGATACAGTGACCTGTCAGCAGATTGAGCTCTATCACCACTATGTGATGCTTTTGACAGTTCGTGATTATGATGGGATATGTGAAGTCAGATGCTCTAACGCTAATCTGACTAAATAACACCAATGTGTTGAAGAGCCGGCCAACGGAGCCCAGCTGACGGTGTGCTACTCCCACTTTTCCGTTAGCCAATACATTCTACAAGGCACATCTTATGTACAAGCACCAGTATTCGAATTTTGTTTTCGCGCTTGCAGGCTCCATCTAGAGGTGTCAAGTTTTACCTTATAAATAACTTGCAACAAAAGGACGGAGGGGATGTCACCTTTTACAGTAGGAGATGTGTCAGAAAAGTTCCAGGACTGACGTCATCATAAATATATTTCAAACACAAATTGTGATCCAGATAATTAATTAGCACGTCTACAAACCGACCCTGCTGTGTTTGCTTTGATCAATGAGTGAGAGCAATGAGAGTTGTGATGGTTAACTCGTAGCTGCTTCAATGTGACAAAAGAATGTGCCATCTCACAGTGCCGTGAGTATCCGATAGTTCCTGGCCAGGAAGACATTGCCGTGCTACCACAATCTCCCTAATTATACAACCTGGCTCTGTCTGATGTTTTTCCTTTGTCACAAGCTCTCGCATTGAAGACATGGACAACAGGATCCTGCAAGAATTCTTCAAGGCGTGCATGAATTCTTAGACGAGACGACTTAGGAAGTGTGTTCGACTCCAGAGGGATTACTTCAATAGAGGAAGTCTGTTGTTTGGATTTGAATTACATCTGTAGTGACATCAGTCCCGGAGCTTTCTGACACCCCTCGTTATAGCATTATTCAGTTATAATCAGCAAACCTATGAAGATCCAATATTTAATTCAATGTGAAGTAAAAGGAGTCAAAGGTTTCATTTTTAAATTACCTTTATATATTGTCACTAACAACTTGAACGATAAATATGTATTTGATCAGGTACACTACTGCAACATACATGCACGCATGTTTGCTCTTTAAACTACAAACCCAACAAAAGGTGTGTCCTGCCTGGTCCACCAACTCAAGAAAGCAGTACAGTGTTGCCATAGCATTAAAACAGGCGGTGTTCTCCCTATTATACTCATTGTAATCCCTCAAGGGGAAATTTAGTTTACATGCTGCTCTATGTTTTGTGTTGCACAGTTGAACACCACAGAGAGAAGCAGATCAAGCACGTGGGCATGGAAGGAGTGATTCAAAGTGAAAGGGGTGCATAAACAGTCACTTGAGCTGTGGGTGAGAACAGTTCAAGGGCACATTGACACTAGCCAGCAAGTGCTTTAGCAACTCTCTCACAGCGAGTTATCATTAATACATTTTTGTCCCTTGACCATCCGTCTAGAAGCCCAAATCCTTAAAAATTACCTACCACAATACCATCCAGCCATCCATTTTCTAATCCGTTTATCCTCAAGAGGGTCCCCACCTTTGGCCGCTGCCCGGCTCACGATGCACCCGACCCCTTTGGGCCCACCCTTAGGTGGTGAGCCCATGGGAAAGGGAACCCTCGTTGTCCTTTCGGGCCAAGATACATGGGCGCAGGCCCAGCTACCAGACGCTCACCTTTGAGCCCCACCTCCAGGCTTGGCTCCAGGGGGCGGCCCCAATAATTTGCATCCGGGCAAGGGAAAACTGGATCA